AATTGGCAAGGGAGGAGGAGGGGGGGGGGGAGGAAGGGGGGAAGAGGAGAAAAGGGCGGGGGAGGGAAACCCCAGGGAGATGATGATGATGATGATGATGGGGGGGAGAAGGAACCACGAGGACTGTCCCGATCGCCCTCCCTCCCTATGTTTTTCACGCCTCTCCCGCTGCACCACCGCGATGGCTGAAGGACTTCGGCTGCAACGTGGGAAGGCAGCCTTTCCCCGGGTCGACTTTGCGCGCAGGCGGGAGCGCCGGAGCGCAACCCTGCCCCCCCCGGGGGAGAAATGGGTGGCTCCTGCAGCCCAATTCCGAGGGTGCTTTTTAAAAAAAGTTCAAGGAAGAGTTAAAAGATTCAGAGAGAGCCATAGTGTGTGTGTGTGAGAGAGAGAGCTTTCTCCTCTCCGGAGGCCCCTCCACAACCCGCGATCCTAAGCCTGCAGCAGAACCAGCCTGGGACAAAATGAATCAGCTGAGCTGGAGGGGGTGGTCAATCAGCAAAAGCAGTTTCAAAGTATCTTCCCCAGCTGGGCATTTTCCAGATGCCCTGGACTACAAAGCCCATGTTTCAGTGGTGGGGGGTTTGGAGCCTGGGGAAGAGCCAGATTAGAGGAAAATGGCATTCCAGGGTCCTGTTTCTGAGCAGGCAGCGGGTTGACTCTGCCCGACGGCAGGGCCGGTCCAGAGAGCTGGGATTCTTTCCGCCAAGGATGGAGGGGAGCTGCAGGGCCGGAGGGAGGGCTCCCTCAGGAGTCCCACATTACCTGGGCTGGGGCGCACCTGGCGCAGAAAGGGAGGCCATCCAATGCCCTCTTTGCAGCTCTGCCTCGGGCACACAAAATGTCTTGGGGGGGAGGGTGTCCCTGCAAAGCAGGCCTTCATTTAACCTCCTCACTGACCCCCCCCCCCGATCATCTGAAATAAAAACACATTGCATGGCAGCTGCATCTTAATGTACCAGATCCTGAGAAAATTATTTTTTCTTGGAGGGGAAAAAAATTGTATCTCAAGAAAGAAAAGCCCAGGATGAAACAGAAGACACACACACCCCCGGGGAGCTTCTGTGTTGACGGCGTCATGTCCACTCTGCCCTGTCGCAGGGATGGCCGGGGCTTAAGGCCAGCCCATCGCCTTTCTTAGGGATGCCAAAGCCACACAGAAGGAAGATCAGCCCTTCCATTGCCAGAGCTGCTCCCTCGCTGTGGCCAGATTTCTCAGGCTCCGATGCCGCCCCCCCCCCAAAAAAAGTAAAATGAGACACACCCCACCCACCCAGTTCTCTAGGTTTGAAGGCCGTGAAGCAAAACAGTCTTGGTGGGTGGGGGTGGGATGGGGGGACTTCCTCAGGCTAAACAGTGAGAAGATGTTTCTATGGGTCTACATATCACAAAATGACCCTCATATTGTTGTTTTGTTTTCTTAAATCCTAAATAATAATCATGGACTGTGGTCAAGTCCGTTCCAACTTTTGGCAACACTTTCCAGGATTTTCCAAGGAGACTCAGAAGTGCACCACCATTTCTTTCCTCCGGGGGGCACCCTGGGACTGTGCAGCCGGCCCAAGGCCACCCAGGCTCGAAACTTGGTAACAGACAATTATTTATGTTTTCCCTCTGACAATGTCTGATGGTTTAGCTTTATCGTTTTTAATCAAATGGGTCTAAATTTTGGTCAATTGGCTATCCCTGCTCTGGGGGAAAAGTGTTGCTTTGACCTTGTTTTCTATGTGTAGAAATGGCCAGATAGCTCAGTGCGATGGAGCACTGAGCAGGGCAGCAAAGGTCAAGAGGTCAATTCCCCTCTGTGCCTTACAGGAGGAGGATTGCTGTAGCTTTGGGGGTGAGCTTTGTGGGTTTTGGACAAACCCCATGGCCTCAGAGGATCCCTAAAGTTATCTGTAAGTCACTAAGACCCGCGGTTCCCAACCTTGGGTAATCCAGATGTTCTTTGACTGCAACTCCCTAGCCAGCACAACTGGCGGTGAAGGCGTCTGGGAAATGCAGTCCAAGAACACCGGGGCTACCCAAGGTTGGGAATCATTGACCTAGGCTCTTTTTTTAGAATCCAAGAAATAGAAATGGAGACAAATGAATAATACGTTAATTCTCTAGGAGGACAGACTTGCGAATTCCATGAACTGCCAGAAAGATGCCCAAGTGAGCCCTAGAGCAGATCAAGCCTGAACCATCTCAGGAGGCAAAAAGGATGAAAGTGAGGATGTTCTACTTTGGGCGCATCAGAAGAAGGAAGGATGCCCTGTAGAAGACCATCATGCTGGGAAAGGTGGAGAAAGAGGAAGGCCAAATACGAGATGGATCAGCTCCCTAAAGGAAACCACAGGCTTGCGTTTGCAAGAGCTGAGCAGGGCTGTTGAAGACTAGTGAGCTGGAGAGCACTCATTCACGGGGCCATCATATGTTGGAGTCAACCTGACCGCACGTAACAAACTAGGCCTTTGGTAAAGGTAAAGGTTCCCCTTGACATTTAGTCCAGTTGTGTTTCACTCTAGGGTGCGGTGCTCATGCCCGTCTCCAAGCCGTAGAGCCAGCATTTTTCCGTAGATAGTTTCCGTGGTCACGTGGCCAGCGCGACTAGACATGGAATGCCGTGACCTTCCCACTGAGGTGGTCCCTATTTATCTACTTGCATTTGCATGCTTTCGAACACCTAGGTTAGCAGGAGCTGGGACAAGCGATGGAAGCTCACTCCGTCGCCTGGATTCGATCTTACGACTGCTCATCTTCTGACCTTGCAGTACAGAGGCTTCTGCGGTTTAACCCACAGCACCACCCACGTCCCCTGTTCAACATACCTTTGAAGGACTGGTAATTTTGACACCGATGGATCTGATATTTCAATTCCTTGTTGAGTTTGTATTTCAGTTTTTGCTCTGTTCTCCTACATTGCCTGGAGGACTAGGTTCAGAGGCGACCACTGCATGTAAATAATTGCATCAACATGATGCGCTAAGAATTTGTACAAAGAAACATGTTGTTCTGTCCTCCAGAATTAAATTAGCGAAGCTCAGGAACAAGGGATAGATTTTCAGAGGTTCGGGGAGGAGACGTCCCAGAGCGCGTTGCTCCCATCTCATTCACGGTACGCACGCACGTTTCTGGGGATGGCACCACAGCACAATGTTCCCTAAACGGGTGCCCTCCAGAGTAGAGCAGCTGAATTGTCATGGTTGAAACATTCGGCCATCCTGCTGATTTCCAACACATCTGGGTGATATCAGGTTAGGAGATGCTACCGTGTGGTACATCTTAATACAGCTGAAAAGTCCCTCTAGTCTAGCATCTCACTTCCAAGCCACATATGCAGCATGGAAAAGTTGCATTTTTGTACCACAATGCCCAGAATCCCCAGTGGAGGGTTCTGGGATTTGTAATTTAAAAACAAATGTCAATTTTTCAATGTTCTATCCATAGCCAGATGCCACTGGGGAAGCTCCCAAGCACGTCATGAATGTTACTCATGTCGCTTGCGCCTATCATTTGTGACCTAAGGTACACTGCATCTCGTAATGGAAGTTTCATTAGACAGTTGTGGCCAACAGCCGTTGAGGGACCTATGCTCCATGAACGTACCTGCTCTTTTTTGAAATTGAATTGCCCACACAGCCGTTGAGGGACCTATGCTCCATGAACATACTGTGCTCAGTCCACTCAAGGCCTCTGTCCAATTTCTCTTCCCAACCAGAGTAGACCAACTGCATTGACTGAATATACATAACTGTTGACAAAAAAATCTTGCTGATTCAGCAAGTGTACTGTAGTTGGGGCTGGCAACTTCATATCATCCAGACCATCCAACTATTGCCCTCTGGTCTCATATTCTCCTGATGTATCTGACTGCAACTTCCATCATCTGGAAGCCCCACAGCCCAGTTGTCTGAGAATGAGGTGTTACAGGAAAAGGTCGGCAGAGGTTAAAGGTTAGAGAAGACAGATCTGACCCATGGCTGTTACCTTAAAGTTGGAAAGGACTGTCCTGGCCAGTCATTGTAAGAAGCTCCTATCCAAAAGCTGACCAAAGACTACTAAAGTCCTTTTGTGCTTTGGACCCTCCCAAAACTTGGCACTCATCTGAAAGTCAGCTGGTCTCCAGTTCCATCATCCAACATCTTGAGATGATGTCTGTTGGTGTTCTCCCCAGAGGTCCACCCCAACTGGTCTTCTTGCCAAACATGGTCTCATAACAAACTGATTCACTCTGAATTCCTAAGAGTGTCAACTGTTATCGTGACTTTTCCAGTTGTTTTAAGACACACACCAATGTGAAATGCATGGCGGAACTATAACCGGATGCATTCTTTGTGTCTTGACTGACATTTCTGGAAACTGCAGTGTATCAAGAAATAATTCCTACTGGCTTCAGGGAGGTTTTACTCCTGAGTAAACTGATGCAGAAGATCATAGCCTCAACGTTGCTTCTGTACACAATGGTTCATGCAGTCACACGTCTACTGTGTGACTGGAGCACAAGTTTCTGGATTCTTCATTTCCTTGAGAAACATCAAATAAGCAACCCAGCCCTCAAAATAGGAAGTGATGCAACCCCGGAAAGGACGACAATGGGATTTTGCTGGTTTTCTGTACAAATACCCTATAAGTTGATGCTTCAATACAGAGGGGCAGAGGAAATCTCCCCCACCCCCTTACTTTTTAGACCAAGAATGAGGAATTTGTGACCTCCTGAAATGGCTGGGACTACAAAGCCTATCAGCAGCCATTCACATACAGAGTGGGAGGATGGGCTGTGCAGCCGGACAACATGTGGCCAGACTCTGGTTCCCAAGTTCTCCAAACTTGATTTTTAGAGGCTTCTATTAGACTCATAAATAGGGACCCTCACCCCCCCTTACTTTTCCACTCATAATTCAAGTGGCCGTTCCAGCGATGGGGGCTGTTGAAACAGAATCCCCCCAAAACAGCATCCTTTTTAAGGGCACTGGGCTGATTCCCACGGTGCCACCCATTGCCTTCTTTTTTTCAAGATCTGAAAAATCTGTGCAGGAAAGGAAAAAAAAAAAGCCGGGCACTTTCCTCTCAGTCACTCCCTGGCTGAACATCCTGTTTCCTCCCTTTTGCCCGTCGGGTGGAAGAAAGAACGAGAGAATGAGGTTCACAGGAATTGAGGACCAGTCAGGAGCCGCCCTGATACAGCGTGTTTTTTTTCCAAACTTTCTTCTTTCTTTTTGGCCAGAGAAGTTCCTTTCGCCCTTGTGCATTCCGAGCCCTACCCTTGTCCCATCTTCCTGAGTTTAGGCACACTTACTCTTGAGCAGACGTGTCTGGGCAAAAACCAGAAATTTTATGGTTTGTTTTCTTTTAATTGGGTCCTTTTCTAAAAGGGATCAACGCCAAAGACTACAGGTCCCAGAATATCCCAGAGAGCAAAGGACCATCTCTGGAAAACACGGTTGAGAAAAGAGAAGTAACAAAATGAAGGGGCAAAAAGGGAAAATAGGAAGGGATTTACACAGTGAGAAAAGAATAAAGAAGAGAAACGTATTTTGCAGGAGAGGGGGATACAGATGGCTTTGTTTTGAGACCAATTTGCAGAAAAAAAACAGGGAACAATTTTTATGCAACTGCCTGCAATTTCCCTTTGACCGAGAGGGGTCTCCTTGTTCCTCCAGTTGCATCGGCTACAGCTTTGCCTCGATCTCACCCAAAATTTGCCGAGCCAGGTCTTTCTCTCGGGCCGAAGCTAAATCCTGCCAGGTTACCCATACCGGTTTGGGCTGAAATGATTCACGGCCGAAACAAAGAAAGAAAGGCACTGTCCACAAGAACACTTCTCAAGACCATTTAGAAAGCAGAAACAGTGTATAACAAGTGCACCGACGTTATGATTCCGGTGGTGATGGACAACAGAACTAATGACAGCACTGCAATCATCCACAAGGCGGCCCTGTACTGCCCCCTAAACTTCCCGATCGGATTTCTGCAGGTGAAGGGCTGAGAAGCAAGCCACACCACGCCACGCCAGTCAGGTAACAACCCAAAAACCCAAGGCTGCCTCCCACGGCGGCCACCACCGCCCTCTCACCAAACCGAGGCAGCCTCTTGAGGATTCTCCAGAGAAGCCATTGCCTTTCGAGCAGGAGAATGAGACATCAAGGCCTTCCCCCCCACACACACCAAGCGGTGTGCAATTCCTGCAAGATGGCTCCGTTGCCTTTACCCTGAGCCTCCCACACACCAGACACGAAAATACAAGCTGATGGGTCGCAAAGAGGCAAGAAACCCATCCGGTGCTTGTACTTTTCAACAGGATCTTGCTTCTTTTCGCGCCTTTACAGAGTTGCACAGGGGGCTGTTCTCACAAAGCACCCCACGTGCAAATTCTCTCAGAGGCTGACTAGGAACATCTACGGTCTCACAAAGTACCTACCGTTTTGCGTCTCTTCCACCTCCGTCCTCTTCATTTCGAGGAGCTGATCCCTTAGCCGGGGTGCCGTCTTGGGCTGACCTATTTCAACCGCCACTCCCACGTCGGCCAGTAGCTGGAGGAGGTGGTATAAGGATGATGACTCCACTTTGGAGGGCAACACGTTGTAGGGATTCAGGCGAATTTGGGGCACCTCGTTCAGGTGGTGGCAGCTTGGATATTCCACAAGGTCAAAGGCCAAGCTACGCCCAAGTGCTTCCACCAGTACATACTGGGAGAACTTCAGGAGCTGGTCACAGATGTTGCGTTTTCCTCCCACCTTCGTTGTCAAGTTCAGGCTCATTAGAAAGTCTCTTTGGCCTTTATGATTCAGGGGGAGGTCCCTTCGGAAGGATTTTTGAGACTCAGAAGCTTCTCGGAGAATCCTCTGAAACAGTTCCTTAGGGCCCATTTCCCATAAAGAACTCTTCAGATTCAGGCTGTTCTCTTTCAAAGCAAAATCACAAACATAAGTAAGAACTCCATCTGTGATCTCCCTTTGCCCTTAAAATAAATTAATTCCCTCCAACCAGCATTGCAAGAGAGTAAGTTTGATCACAGGACTGTGCGAAGCCCACCTAGATGTTTGTTCTAACTCAGATTCTCAAGTACCTTAATCTATGTCTAGAAAACCTGCAGCCCACCAACTGTTCTTGGACTACAACCCCCATCATCAGCCCTGTTCTCTGGGGCTGATGGGAGCTGGAGTGCCAAACTTGTGGAGAGCCACAAGCTACCCACCTTGTTTCCGTTGGGCAAAAGTCCCGAAGTGTATGTTCAAAGAGCCTCTTTTTTATCCACTTACAAAATACCAATGTCTTAATCAACGACACTGCCTGTTAGAACTTTTTGGCGCAGAGGATAGAATCTGGAACAAATTATTTCTTAGCAATTTGGTCTCACTTTGTACAATACGCTGGGTGGATAGCTCAGTGGCTTGAGTGCCTGCCGGAGGTTGGGAGTTGGATTCCCCTTTCTGCTTCCTGAGAGAAGAGCCAGCCTGGGTAGCCTTGGGCCAGCTGCACAGTCCCAGGGTGCCCCTAGAGGAAGGGAATGGTAATACACCACTGAGTATTCTCTACCTAGAAAATTCTGAAAAGGATCACCCTAAGTCATAATTAGTTGGCTGGATAGCTCAGGGGTTTAGGTATCTGGTTGGGAGTTCAATTTGCTACTGTGTCTCCTGCAAGTGGAGCCAGCCTGGGTAGCCTTGGGCAAGCTGCAGTCCTAGGGCACTGCCAGGAGAAGGCAAGAGTGATCCACTTCTGTATATCCTCTACCTGGAAAAAACCTGAAAAGGACTGACATGAATTGGAACTGACTTGATGTATTGTACAATAATTTTACGTCTTCTGAATTGACACTATCAACTAGGGGAAGATAATTTTCAAGAAACAACAGGTGCTTAAGCTCAGATCTAACTGCAAATTTAACACTTTCTCTTCAGGCAAGCTTTCCCTGAGGGACTAGCTGCCTGACTGAAGTTTCTAAATGGATGGCTGTGAATGTGTTTTGAGGTTGCTCCTGTTTACCATCTTTTACGGAGCTATTTGTTTGATCTTCTAAAATATTTGTATACTCATTGTTTTTAGCTTTAAATATTGTCTTTGAAGGATGTCCTTCTTAAGGAGAAAGGTGGGGCAGAAACGGTTTAGAGAAATAAAAATTAAATAAGCGGCAACATTTTTTTTCAAAAGGAAAAAACACACGTGCCTACGTCATCATCCGGCTGGCAAGAAGGCAGGAAGAAGAGGAGGAGGAGAAAGCTGGCAAACGCCAGGAAACGGAAGCTTGGTGCAGGGCGCGGTACGTGGCGATCTGCTTGGCTCTTCAGGAAAGATGGATTGGTCGGACAGAGTGGGTCTTCCATTCTTCTTTGTGGTTGGAGAAAGGATGACCGTAAGTGTTGGCAAGAGAAGAAACGGGAAGATCTGGCCCAGCGTGGAGCTGTCCCCTCCGAGTACAGCTTCTTAGCAGGAGGGTAGAAAGAAAAACGGGGCCAACGCCGGCAAGATCCTGCAAAAGAAAAACGCACACCCATGGCTTCCCACTCTAGTGCCAGACCCTCCCTTCGTCAGGCGGACAGTATCCTCTCTCAGCAGACAGTACAAGTTTCCCCTTTGACAATTGACACTGCCTGGAGGACACGATCTGAGTAAAGTTTACACCGGGTGAATTTTCTGGATTAAAAACAGGGCCACGCCATCTTCCCTGCACAAAGCAAGTAGCTGGCCAGGCATTCCCCCAGGAAATAAAAGCAGGAAGGCCGACATGGGAGAAAAAACACAAAGCAAACTTTTTAACTCAAGAATATCAAGGACAGAAAGACACAGCCAGAGGGGTTGGGAGTTCGATTCCCCCAGGGCGCCTCTTTGACAGGAGCTGGCCTCGAGGATCCAAAGGGTCCCATCCAGCTCCACCTTTCTGAGAGGATGATGAGGAGGAGGGCCATGAGTTGGCACAAGTTTCCACTTGGGAACCTGGACCACTCCCAATAAATAAATAAATGAGAGGAGGATGATGAGGACGGCCATGAGTTGGCACAAGTTTCCTCTTGCGAACCTGGACCACTGGCACGGAGCCCTGAAGCTGGAAACGCATCCCGTGTTTCACGGACGGGGCCTTTCTCGTCTGGAGAGGGAGCCCAGGGTCATTCGATCCGGTCCGTGCCCGCTCCCTCCTCCCTCCCTCCTCCGCATCACGTGTGAACGCAGCCAACCTGGCGTTCGCGTGCGCCTTGGCTCCCCCGGCTGGGGAAGGAAGGAGCGTCTTGGAGAGGGCCGGCGGGAGAGAGGCTCCTTAATATACAGGATGCCTCGTCGACTCACAAGTCCTGCCGACTGAGGCCGGGGAAAAAAAAAAACCCAGCGCGCATTCCCTGGGGCGAAACCCTAAAACGAGTGTAAAATCCCCACGGAGGGCCCCGTGAAGCTTACTCCCAGGTAAGCGTGCTTAAGTCTTTCAGCCGGGCGAAGGAGGCCCTCCGGCACTTACTCCGAAGGAAACCTCTCGGAGGCCAATCAGGCTGACGCCGACGGGGGTGTCCTTAAGACGAGGGACGCGCTCCCGATGCGTTACTCCTCGAGAAACAGAAAAGGTCTACTCTCAAAGGAAGCGAGCAGCAAGTTAAAGCCTGCTCATGGCTCTGCGCTTGCGAACGTTAGTTTGTGTGTGTGTGTGTTTTAACTACAGCGCCCAGAATCGGCAGCCAAAGCCTGCTGGGGATTCTGGAATTTGTAGTGCCCCCCCCCCAAAAAAAAATGTTGCAAAGCTTTGGGCTTACCTGGTCCACGAGGCCGCAT